GGGAAGGGAAGGGAAGGGAAGGGAAGGGAAGGGAAGGGAAGGGAAGGTGAAGAAAAAAGAGGTAGGGAAAAGGAGAATGCAAGAAAGGGTAAGGGGAGACAGGAGATGAGAAAATTGGCTCTGCATTGTAGGGCTGACATATATAAAATCTGCAGGATCTACAGGCCTATTTGACATGGTGAGAATGATAGAACTCAAATTCGAGAATGGTTTGGAAGCAATTTGTTTTTCTCACAGGGAACAAGGCTTTTTCACAAAGCTTTGAACTAATAAGATAAGGTGAACCTACATAATAAAAGGCAATCTGACTGAAATTTGGCTGATTTTAATGATACATTGATTTTTTTTAATGTCTTCAAAACAACATCTCTATTACCAGGTACCATGCTTAGTCAAATCGACTCATAAAACTATCCATCCATCCAAAGCTAGTATTGTCATTATTGCTACATATTTTGAAGGGCTATGAGTGGCACAAGTTTTTGTTGGTTTATAGAATGGTATTTTTACCCCCTATAGATGCTCTGAATTCATGTGATTCTGTCATGATTAGCTCTAGTTTATCAAAAGTGACACAGATACACACTAAAGGACAGGACAGTGATGTAACTTTGAAAGGAGTTATGATCCAGGAAACAGCTATTTTTGGATGTCTTATATGGACATGGACTAGGTTTTGTTGTTGTTGTTGTTGTTGTTCACTTCCTTTGCTAACATAAGCTATGATGGTTCTCTACTATGGATTACTCAACCAAATAAGAAAATAAGTCGATGTAAAAAAATTAAACCTTAGAAGAATGTTTATGAAGGAGGGTCACTCAGACCAGGGCAAAGGAAAATAAAAATATCAGTTTTGAGGAAGAGAGGAATGTATGTGTTTCCAACTACAAACAACAGGAAAAAAACAACTGATGTCCAGCATAAGAGAAGGGGTGAGTAGCACAAAAATAAACAATCAGCCAGGGGAAATTGTTTTGTTTTGTTTTCAATTAAATTTTTATTTTTTATATTAATTACAGTTTATTCACTTTGTATCCCAGCTGTAGCCCCTCCCTCATTTCCTCCTAAACCCCTCCCACAGTCCAATGATAGAGAAGGTCCTCCTCCCCTTCCCTCTGACCCTAGCTTATCAGGTCTCATCAGAACTGGCTGCATTGTCCTCCTCTGTGGCCTGGTAAAGCTGCTCTGCCATCAGGGGGAGGTGATCAAAGAGCCAGCCACTGAGTTCATGTCAGAGACAGTCCCTGTTCTCTTTAATAAGGAACCCATTTGTATACTGAGTTGCCATGGGCTACATCTGAGCCGGGGTTCTAGGTTATATCCATGAATAGTCCTTGGTTGAAGTATCAGTCTCAGAAAAGACCCCTGTGACCAGATATTTCAGCCAGGGGAATTTTAATAATTCATCTACTCTGAGCCTACAGCTAGACTTTAATTTCCAAGCTCTCACTATAGAGGAATACATAGGTGATATATAGCAGAATAAATAGGCAATCCTTAGATTGATGACATTCATATTCATACCTCAGAGGATCTTCCTGGGCTCTTGTCATTCAACAGACAAAAAAAAAAAATCCCATAATAATAAATTGTAGGGTAAAGAACAGCTTTGCGACTGTACGACAACAGGGATATATAAGGAAGAGTGGGTCTCAATGTCATTTCTTGGGGAAAAATCCATGTGCCTGATGTCTCTTGGATATAGTTTATATTCTGTTCCAGGAGGGAGTTCTTTATCTTCCTACATGCCAACTATGGAAAAATGACTGGACATTTTAATGCTGAAAGGTCTGGATGGAGAATGCAATTATGTAAATGAGTTCTGTACAATGAAAGCAACATCTCACCCTAGAGTCTTTGAGCATCTGGGTAACTTACTGTTACTCCTGAAGTAGAGAGGGGCTCAACAATCACAAACATCACCAAGCCATCAGGTACTACAGTCATATTTCTATATCATTCAAAGAGCTCAGATCTTCCCTAGTTCTTTTAGCCACATGGTTAATAGTGGCTTCTGGGTAACTAGGCCTAATCATTTTGGAACTCTAAGATAACTTTTTAGGGTCATCTCCTTTTTATTTAACTGCAAAATCGTCAATGAATGTGTTGTATGGCTGTGGCTTGAGACTGGTCATCCAGAAACTCCACTGTTCGCCAAGAACAATCAGTGACTTAACGCAAGGAACAGGACACAGAATTGAAGGAGAAAAGAAAAACACAACTGTCAGCCAAGAAAGAACCTTTAAAGGTCTCTGACACAGAGAAAATAAGGAAGACTCATTACATATATTGTAACAATTTAATTGAATGATAATATTTTTTCCCATCAAAAAAAACAAACAAACTTTTCCCCAAGAAGGAAAGATCATGAGTAAGGAGAGTGATTAGGTGATTGAATTCATGAACCTGTCTGCCCGGTTTCTGCTTCCTTGATGTGTATATAAAACCTGTGCTGAGCACCAATGCTACTACTGCTTTGGTGTCCTGTATACTCCACCATGCAGGGTCTCTCTTTCATGCTCAGTGCTGCTACCCTCTTCTTGGTCCTCTGCCTAGAGCTGGGGATCAACAAAGCCCAGGAAACCACGTGAGTAAAACACATCTTTTGTTCTTCAGGAAAGCCATAGAAAGGAGTCCCCTCCAGACCTGGAAAACTTTTCATACTTTTGTCTAGCTATTTAGGTGGTAAAGATCTCTACCATTGGGGGTTCTCATAGATCTCATGTTATACTGTATTCTCTAGCAGGCTCCGTGCATTCCTTTCACATTTCTCCTGGACATATAGGCTTGTTTAAGAAATAAAACCCCGATTGTATTTGATGAGTTGCTCCTAAAGAAGTAGTCTTACTCTCTCTCTCTCTCTCTCTCTCTCTCTCTCTCTCTCTCTCTCTCATCCACTGCTCAGATTTTTGCTCAGTTTGCTTTGAAAAGGTAAGAGGTCTCATCTCCTCCCATGCCCCCTTTCCATGTCCACTGGTAGGGGAAGTGCTCCTTCCCTTTCATCTGACCCTAGCAATATCAGGTCTCATCAGGAGTGGCTGCATTGTCTTCCTCTGTGGCCTGGTAAGGCTACTTCTCCCTCAGGAGAGGTGATCAAAGAGCCAGCCACTGAATTCATGTCAGAGGCAGCTCCTGTTCCCCTTACTAGGAAACCCATTTGTAGACTGAGGTGCCATGGGCTACATCTGTGCAGGGGTTCTAGATTTTCTCCATGAATAGTCCTTGATTGGTGTATCAGTCTCAGAAAAGACCCCTGTGCCCAGATCTTTTGGTTCTGTTGCTCTCCTTGTGGAGCTCCTGTCCCCTCCAGGTCTTTCAAATATGGGAGTTTTGAAGACACTTGGTCTTCATGTATCTTTCCTAGGAAGTGAGTCCTAGAACTGTTGGTATAAGAAGGGAAATCTAACATGGATTGCCCTAGGAAAATGGAGCTATGAATAATTCTGTCTAAGAATTCTTTTGTATACCACATAACACCGAAGGACATTAGACAAAGCTCTTTATAAAGAAGATATGATCCCTTTGGCCCCAAACAGCCTTTGCAAACTAAAGAGAAAACTTGACTCTTTGCTTAGGAAGTGTCTCAATCTGCGTAACTACCTCCTTTGCTCTGTCCCCTTGCCTCATACCAGAAAAGTGCTTCATCCTATATGCTCTGTACACTGGTTTTTCTCTCAGTTTCTTTTTCTTAATTGTGGTGCAGATTTTATATATTCCAAGATATATACACATTCCTAGGCCCTACCCAGCATTCATCAGGGATGGTTTTCAAAGATTTATAAAATCCTGCATTCCATGATTCTTTCCATGTTTCTGTGGATATAAAGTTTTCTCCGAACAATGAACTGACTCTCTTGTTCCAGTCAGTGGTCAAGGAGATGAAAAATAAGTAAGTAAATAAAACAACTGTAGGGCAGTGATTCTTTTCCTTCATACTGTTGTGATCTCTAATACAATTCCTCATATTGTAGCGACCCCAAATCATAACATTATTTTCATTCATGAAGTATAATTTTGCTACTATTGTGAATCTTAATGTAAAAACAAATATTTTCTGTTGATCTTATGTGACCCCTGTGGAAGGGTCATTTGACCCCTAATTGGGTCATAACCCATGGGTTGAGAACCATTACTGTTAGGTATTTGGAAATAGCATGAGACAGTAGCCTTTTTACTTTAAAATTTGTTATTTGTAACTGGGAAAAAGATTCTCTAATTTAAACAACATTGTTGTTGTTAAATTAAACAAAAGAAGATAGTCAAAGCCAACACATAAAATTTCCTGGGATTCTGATGATTAGAAAGTGTCTCATTCAAACTTTAACTTCCTTAGTACCATGCTGTAGATTTCAGCACTGCTAAGGTATTGCAAGAATGCCCAACCCTCTGTTGTCTGATCATGTATCTAGCCACAATGCATGCAGTATGAAGAACAGGATGCCAGACTCTCAGCCCAAAGCCTAAGACAGATAGGCTAGCTCTCTGATCCTTTCTGCTCAAATGAAAGATTATGAACTAAAACCGAGGAAGACTAGAAGTTTTTAGGACTGGCAAATTAAGTCTAAAAGATGAATCAAGGCAAACAATTACTGAGATTGTGGCGGCTGTGTAACCTGGCAAGACTTATGCCTTGCAAGAATGAAGCAGGTAAGGTTTGCTGCAACATGTTCATGGTCAACGAACTAGGTAGCTCTTATTTACAAAATTTGTAACAAATTCTTCCAGAGGAAAAAGGAGAAAATTCACTAACTTCCAGAAGACAAAGGTTAAATTGCCAGACATTTACAAACACGCACTCACACATACCCACACCCATACACTTTAGCAGTTTATACATGTTATTTTCAGGGCATAATTGAGTACTATACTCCCCAACCCACCAAAAAAAAAAAACAAAAAAACAAAAAACAAAAACAAAAAACCCCAAAACTATTTACCCTCCCCTATAATCTAGAAAACCCCCCTCACCCAATATACAAAGTGTCTACATCACTGTGATGCTCTACAGCCACAGAGAACATGCTCAGATGTCATCAGTTTGTTACTCAGTGGCATGGCAACAGGTAGGCATACAGGATTCTGCCCTCATAGTGGTTATTCTAATCAGCACCACTGTGAATTAGGCTTTGAACAAAAGTGTAATATATGAACTTGATATGAGAATTATGTATTTTGTTTTCTAAGACAAAGGGAAAAGGAGGTTGAAATAGAAACATGGCTACTGACAGTCTGACATCCCAAACTCAAAAAACAAACTTCCTATCTTCAAGTAACTCAGCAGGTTCCTCCAAAGAAAATGACAATATCCCACCCCCAAGAGCAACCAAAGCAACTTTCCCTCCCCTTTGGCAAGAACCTCAGACTGCTTGTTTTTGACCTCCTTCTACACACCATGAAGTGCCTAGCTTGGATTTCTTCTGGTGCTACACGTAAAGAGAACTGTTATAGGCACTGGGCACTGACCCTACAGCAGCAAGAAAGCTGTGTGTTGACTATTAAAATCTACTCTTGAGTGGCCCCTTAGCCTGAGCTTTGTTGACATGGTTCCCCTCTCCAACCTGTAGGCCAAAATTCCACTTGTCATCTGCATGTTCATGGACATAAAATTAAAAAAACCCATATTTAAAAAAGTGTCACCAGTCATGGTGGCATCAGCATGGTACTAAGGAAGTTAAAGTTTGAATGTAACCACTTTATTTAAAGTTTTTTTTCTTTAATTTAAATGAAACTGAGTTGAAATGAACATGATTTTGTTGACCATGTTCGTAAATTATAGATGCAACATGCATTGGTAGAATTGTGTGGTGGTCTGGTGTGATACTTCATTTACATATCCCAGTCTGTATGCATTTGCATAAACAAAAAACCAAACTCCTGCTTTGCTCTGATTGGAGGATTTCCAGGACTGCTGTCTGCTCCTGAACCTTGTTTTAAGTATGTGTATCCTTTGCTTGTATTTTGTATTAAAAAAATAAGGAAAAGAATCTCTTATTATTGAGCATGTTGGCATTGTCCCCTTTATTATTTTTTTTTCCTCTTTTGGGGACATGAAGCAAGTTACTCTTTTTCTGTATCTTTTTCTTTGTAAACCTTTTGGTTTGTTTTGTTTAAAAATGGCTTTATAAAAGGGCTTTTGTAACCCCCCCAAAAAAAGAAAGTGTCTCAATCTATGTCACTCTCTACTTTACTCTGTCCCCTTGTCTCATGCCAGAATAGTACTTCATCTCATATGCTCTGTGCACTGTTTTTCTCTTCCCAGAGCTGTTCGTAAACCACTTATCCCTAAATTGAGATATACAAATTTCGTAAGGGAAAATGAGACAGTATCTGTGGAAGTTCAACTTGCTACAGAATATAAGGAATGTTTGGTGGTAAGTAAATACACAGACAAAGACTCCAATACATATAATTGTCTGATGTCCAAGGTTGACAGGCACTTGCAGGTTTAGAAAGAACTGAAAAATCATTTGCTTATCTAATAACAGCCAGACATGGGCAGAAGGTGTAACTTTGAATCTTACAGTTGGAACAAGTGGAAGTGGGAGATTTATTCAATTATCATAGAATAATGAAGAGCTGCATCTGGGGTTTGGCCATCATTCTCACAAACCCTTGTCCTGGCATGTGCACTTAAACAGCTGGCCTGCCATCTCACTGGGTCACAGAGTAAAATTTCACATGAGTCATTTCCCAGAACTCTGTCTGGTACCAAAGACAAGCCTTCCCCGAGGAAACAGCCACTGTTGGATGAATCTCTTCACCTACTAGATTCACTTGCATCCTCCTGAATCTCACACTCAGACCCCTCAGGCATGCGTCTAAGGTGTTAAGATAGAAAGTCTGGCAAACTAGTCTATGAATGATATGATAGTGATAAATATAAGGTGCCTGTGCCTTTAGTCCCCATCTCAGCTATTTCGTCTCTTGTATTGCCCTCTTCTTTTCTGGGCTAACAGAGGTCATCTCTCCCCACCAGGTCAAAGCTTACCTTGTAAGTTATAAGCCAATTGAAGGTCCCTTCAACTATATACAAACCCGCTGCCTCTGTAATGATTATCCTATCACCGTCTTTTGGGACTTTGAAATCCCAGGTAAGTAGAGGGAACTACCTGCCAAAGAGGAAACATTAGAAACCTAAACATGGCGGCAGAACTTCCAGGTGGAACCATAGAAAGGCAAGGTAGTGGGTGGAAAGAAAGCCCATGAAGACAGTCACTACGTTTTAATCTCTAGAAGGCAGTGTGTGATAAGGACTAAAAGGGAGAATGATTAGCAATGATTTGGGGAAATCAAATTCCAGGAAACAGTCATTTGGCCCTAGCAGGAAAATAGGAGGACCCTATCACATCTGAGGAATGACTTTTTTTGTTATCTCTTCCAGAAACTCTAAACTTTGCAGTAGTGCTTGACCTCATTGCAGAAAAAAATATCTGCCCTAATGATGTGGCAGTGCAACCTATCAGCTTAAGGAGGTATTATGTCTATGCTACTGTGCACAAAATTTAATGGAAGCCTCTTATGTGTTTTTCAAAACCAATGTAATTTTCCCTGAGCAAAATTAACTGAAATACTGATTATAGTCTGTTAAATAAACTTCTTATAAGCTTCTCCATGTATTAATTCATGTTGCCTCCAAAATCCATCCTCTAAGACAATGAGGTACCTCAAATTTTGTACATGGTCTTTAAAAAAATATATGGCTGATATTTTACAATTTTTTTTATTATCCATTGACATAAAAAAAAGAAAGAAATGGCTGGGGAGTTACCTCAGTGAGTAAGGTACTTGCCATGCATGTTAGGACCTGAGTTTGAATCTCAAGAACACACCTAAAGCCAGAAATTGTTGTGTACATTCATAATCTCATTGCTTTTATGCTGAGACCGGAGGAAGATAGAGAAGTTTCCACAGGAACAGCTGGGCACACTCACTGCAGTGTACGTGGTGAGGAACAAATGAAGATACTTTCCTAACCTGGGTAGAAGGCAAGCGCCAACAGTTGGCACCATCCTTTGATCTTCCTGAGTGTGCCATGACACAAGAACACTCACACTTATCCATGCACAGAAATCATAAAAATGCACAAAACCTTTTAAAGAAATAAAAAACAGAAATAAGGAAGAAAAGAACCACTCTCAAATAGGAGAAAGGTCACCAAAGTGGTGGTCTAAGTACTCAGACAAATAAGAGAGAAAGACAGGGCTGGGAGCCAAGCTGCATAGAGCTTGGCTTTTTTCCATCCCATTTACCTCCAGGAGCTTCATCTTCAGATCCCAGGAGATAGGAGTGATTTGAAACCGGTAGTCGTGGACAATCGCGGTCCTCACCATGAATGTGTACCACTGTGCCACAGCCTGTTGCTTCTTCTCAATCAGTTACAAACAAGAAACCATAACTATCTCAAACACTGCATACATTTTTTCTTATGAAGTGTAGGCACAGCAAATGTGGCTGACTGTAGATGAAAGCAGGGAGCCCTGAGTTGCATCCTCAGAGAAGACCTCTGCTGATTTGTAATAGAAACGAAGCCTGAGCAAGGGTTCAAAGTAAGTGAAGAAAATCCTGGCAGATGGTAAAGTAGGCTTCAAGATCCCAAAACATGAAAAAGTATCATATTCTCTTCAGGCAAGCTCTCTGGTGCTGGGCATGAATGAGCGGAAGGACTAGAGAGGATGCTACAGGAAGGGACAGAATCAGAATAGTCTGAGTATGTCTGGGCAAGAACATGGAATCACACTCTCCAAGCCAGTTCTCCTAAATGAGGATCAGAATGCAGGAAAGGGAAAGAAGGTTGTTCAAAGAGATTATTTGAGATCTTATTGGAGAACCAACACCAAGTGCATGTGCAAAATATGATAGCTAAAGCTCCTGTTTACTTAAGGAGCTCTTATAGCTATTTATATCTTTGCAGAAGTCCTTTTTAATCCTGATATCTTGTTTTACAGCACCTTCATCAAACATTGCCCAAGAACAATCTTCTCTTTAGCTTGGGGTTTCTTGCTTGGAGTAGGTTATTTCCATTCTGAAGAAATTTATTATGTCACAGACTACAAACATCCATCAGTCATGTTGTTGTATCTATAATCATTTACATGCTCTGTAGTTTCAATTTTGTATTTACTTAAAAAAAAAAAACCTCAGAAAACCACATTTAAAAGGTAATTTGGAGAAGACATAGATACCCTGTTGAGATGTAGCACAGAGGCAGCTCAGTCTCCATGGGGGCTCCTAGTAAGGGGAGCAGGGACATTCTCTGGAATAAACTCTATTGCCTGCTCTTTGAGCACCTCCCTCTGGAAGGGTAGTTTTACAAGGCTACAGAGAATCCAGACAGTCCTGATGAGAACTGGTAGGCTAGGGTCAGATAGGAGGAGGACCTCCCCTATCAGCTGACTAGTGGAGGGGCATAGTTGGGGAGAGGGAGGGAGTATGGGACCAGGAGGAGATGAGGGAAGGGGCCACAACCAGGACACAAAATGAATACATGATAATAATAAAATAAAAACTCAAAAAAGGTATATCTAAGGTCCTCAATGTCTGTCTCTGTAGCTATTTTTTTTAATATCTGGAACAGTCTAGGTGAGAAAGTAAACATCTATTATTTTTTACATTAAAAATTAATAACCTTTAATTATAGTAAAGATAATCATATACATTTATTATATATTATATATTTAGACTGTTTGCAGCATACTTGGTATTTCTAGTCTGGTCCTAATTATTTTCTATCTACAAAATAAGCATAGTTAAATAAAACATTCTTGAAAACCACAAACACTGCTTCTAAAACATAGGGTTTACTTAGCTCTTCTATGATTTTGTTAAAATTAAGTTTTACAAAATGAAATGCCCCATCTATTAAATGCATAAAATATTCTGTGTTAGATGGTTCTTGCATGCTACAATGTACATGTTCTAGAGAGATATCTACAGTGTCTGTCTGTTGCTTCCTATGATAGAGATTCTACTAACAAAAAAATTATTAAATAACCTATGAACTAGTATTGTATCCTGAAGCATATCAGGATACCCAAGTGCTACAACTTTCATGTTACCATCGCATTGAAATACCCTCCTGCTTAAAAGAAGAAATTGTCATACTGATGAACAGCATGTATAAATATAGAAGATCTCATGGACTTTCCCCTGTCTATTTTTGCATGCCTGCTATTATTCTTTTTGTTCTGCTCATATTTAGGCAATCATGTTGTTAAAATCATAGGGGCATAGGAGGAGATGAGGGAGGGAGGTGGAATTTGGAAGGAATAGGGGAGGGGGTTACAGCTAGGATACAAAGTGAATAAACTGTAAATAATATAAAAAATAAGAATAAAAATAAACATTTTAGGAATTTATAAAAATAAATAAATAAAAGTGCAATCATAGTGCTTGCTCCAACGGATGTGGTCATTTAAAGATAATCCTTATAAGGAACTCAGCACAGGAATTTGTTTCATAAAAATTCAATAAAGGATAACTATTTTTTCTTTAAAAAAAAATCATATGAATTTAGCTTCTGGCATGCTGAGCAGACAGTCTCAAATTGACCTTCATGACCCTGTGGCTCTTGAAATGTATCAATATTTGCTGAGCCTTAGCTGCAGGGGTTGATGTATGCATAAACCACTATAGGCAAATAAAGAATGCTGAGAGTGGGAAAAATATCTTCCTCAAGAAATAACAAATTATCCAATACAAAACTGTCACTCCTTAAGAGATATGGACAAATAATATACAGACTAATCATGTTGTATTTAGGAATATATTGTATACATATATACATATAATAACAATGAAAAAAGGCAATATATTTGAAAGCAAGCAAGCAAGTTTATAGTGGAAGGTTTAGAGGGATGAAAGGGAAGAGGGAAATGATGTAGTTATATTGTAATCTCAAAATAAAATTTTTTGCTTTTTTATCTTAATTTTTATTAATTACACTTTATTCACTTTGTATCCCCCCATAAACCCCTCCCTCCTCCTCTCCCAATCCCACCTTCCCTCCTTTTTCTCCACAGATGCCCCTACCCAAGTCCACTGATAGGGGAGGTCTTCCTGTCCTTCCTTCTGATCTTAGTCTATCAGATCTCATCAGGAGTGGTTGCATTTTCTTCCTCTGCGGCCTGGTAAGGCTGCTTCCCCCTCAGAGGGAGGTGATCAAAGAGCAGGCCAATCAGTTCATGTCAGAAGCAGGCCCTGTTCCCATTACTATGGAACCCACTTGGACACTGAACTGTCATGGGCTACATCTGTGCAGGGGTTCTAGGTTATCTCCATGCATGGTACTTGGTTGGAGTATGAGTCTCAGGAAAGACCCCTGTGCTCAAAATTTTGTTCTGTTCCTCTCCTTGTGGACCTTCTGTCCTCTCCAGCTCTTACTATTATTTCCCACTTCTTTCGTAAGATTCCCTGCATTCTGCCCAAAGTTTGGCCATAAGTCTCAACATCTGCTTTGATAGTCTGCAGGGCAGAGCCTTTCAGAGGCCCTCTGTAGGAGGCTCCTAACTTGTTTCCTGTTTTCTTCTTCTTTTGGAGTCCATCCTCTTTGCCTTTTGGAGTGGGGATTGAGCATTGTAGTCAGGGTCCTCCCCTTGATTAGTTTCTTTAGATGTACAGATTTTAGTAAGTTTATCCTATATTATATGTCTATATGAGTGAGTATATACCGTGTGTGTTTTTCTGTTTCTGGGATAGATCACTCAGGATGATCTTTTCCAGATCCCACCATTTACCTGCAAATCTGGAAGGCACTAGAATCAATAATATAAGTCAGAATTATAAATTCTATATGTTTCTACTTATAAGGGATAACCAAAACAGTATAAAGTCATAAATACGGATTTTCTGCATAGCTAGCACTACGGATGTCTGGAAAAAGAAGTGTTTGAGGTCTATCATTGTCTTTTTATATACCTCAGTTTCTATTTCTTTTGCCAAACAATCTCCATCAACCACTATTGATCAGCGAAGCTTCTTTTTGCAGTGGGCAACAGTAACTGAAGATACTCAAAGTCACGAGATCACCCTGCCCAAAGTTCAGAGAATATCATAGAATAGAGAACAGGAAGAATGTAAGAGCCAGAGGAATGGGGTAAAGTGTTGTGATACTGTCTTCTAGACATGCCATCCCGTCATATTCCTGAATTCTTAGCAGCTCTGACTACTGCACATACCCATAGAAGACTAGGCACACCAACATTTTGTCATGAAATGGGGAGGGGCTCAGGAGGGTCTCTGAAGATTAATAGTTACTTTAATGGTTCTTCTTTACTGATTTTGCCATTAGTAAGGTGTTGATGATCTGATCCTATATATAAATTCCCCTCTATGCTTCTGTAACAAAATCCCAGTGATTTGAATCTGTTCTAGCCCAGTGGCATAGTGTCAGTGAGCAGCCGATGGCATGAGAACCGCAGTACCCGCCTCTGTCCAGCCATAAGGAGTTGTGGGTGGGGTAGAAATGCCCCCTCTCCGCTCATCATCACTCTGCTCCTCACAACCTGTAA